TTTTTTCTAATTAGATTTTGTGACGTTTTATGCTTTTAATTAGGAAACAAAACAAAACAAACAACACTCCTATTCAACGTTTCATATGATAAAACGGACAGAAAATTATGAAATAATTGGGTACATTCAATCTGTGGAATGTCTCAATAACCAAAGATCAATCGACGATACATATTGAGTTAAAATAACAAACAAAAAGATGCAAGTGCCAAATTTTTATTATGCATAATGAGCACATTATTAAGCTTGCTGCTGTTGCTGATGCTATCTCTCTAGGAGAGGCGAATTTGGTGGCTGGCAATTGAATACCGTCAAGTGGTAATAAAATGCCATTTAGACAATGTGGACCCATTTGCAAAAACCCATAGAGAAATTTATCGTCATTGCCGCCATTTAGCCAAATTGCAACTTTGAAACTTTATTGCAACAGTGTTGCCTTAGCTGATCATAATTGCACTGACAAACACAATATGTAAGTTATTAAAATCTGGCAGCGACCACTTTTTGAAAAAAAACCTCATGACGTGCTGCTTCAAGCAAAGGCACTTTAAAAAATGCACTAAAATTTTGTTTTTTATTTGTAGTCATCAGCTGACTTTTTCGTTGCTTCATTGACATTTTTTGCAGCAGCAGTAGCAAAAATGGTTTTTGAAAACCAGCCTTCCTGCAAAACTAAAGTTGAACTCTAAATTTGACAAAAAACTGCCAATCGACTAATTTTCACACACACACACACACACTGACAATATTTTTTTATTCAATTTTATGGCAATAAATATCAACTTTTATCATCCTCACCCAAACATTGACCACAAAACCCCTAGAACTGATTGTTGAGAATCCAGGTGGCGTAGTAGGGAAGGCGAGAGAGAAAGGCCGGGCGCCATTTGTGCTTATCGCAGACGCCCTTCTTGAAGCTGATGATGCCAAACTGCTTCTGCGTCGCCTCTGTTCCTTTCACCTGGCAGACCAGAGGGCCTCCCGAATCTCCTGAGAAAATGATAATCAGGTTGGTATTGAGTCAATGTTTTAATTGATTTTTTTTGCTAAATCTAGATTGTTCCTATACCTTTGCAGATGTTGGGACTGCCCGGCGGCTTGTCGCTCTCCTTGGGGCCGGCACAGTAGGAGACGGTGCGGTTGAAGTACCGTGACACCGTCTGGCAGGTGTCGTCGGGCAGGATCGGATAGCGGGCCACCCTCAGCTCGGCGGTGATATTCGCCGACTCCGACTTGCCCCAGCCGACGACGTAGCAGGTGTAGGGGAGGGGCTGCTCACTCTCGACGGCCACCTCCAGCTTGCCGATCTGCGGGTACTTGACAAAGTCAATCGGCGCGTCCAGCTTGATGATGGCCACGTCGTGGTGGTAGCGGCGGCGGCTGTAGCCGCCGTACAGGGTGTTGTAGAATCGCTGAGTTTGAAGAAAAAAAATGGGAAAAGTTTATTTCTAGAAAAAAGAGGATAAAAAATCGAGGCTCTTTCTCGTACCGGAAAGCCCTGCACCTCCACTCGCTCCTTGGGGTAGTCGAACTTGCTCTTGCCCGTTCCGAGCGAGATGATGCTGAAGTTGGCCGGCTGGCTGTGGCCGGCGTTGAAGAAGCAGTGGGCGGAGGTGAGAATGTACTGCGGGTCGATGACGGTGCCGCCGCAGCTGCTGCGGTGCTTCAGGGTGACCGGGTCGTAGACGTCGACGTAGCCCATCCAGCTGTAGGCGGAGAAGTCGGTGACGGCGGCGCCGCCGATGATGGCGCCGGTGGGCTTTACTAGGAGAGAGGTTATTTTCAAAAGTGCTGCCACTAATAAAATGCGAGTGTTTTTGATCATTTTATTATACTGCTTTAGTTGGTTTGGGTAAAGTTTTATTGTTTTTGCAAAAGTAAAAATAAAACTAGTGTATTTTTTCATTTTATTTGAATAAAGTTTTATTATTTATTTGGTTTTAATTTCGGTTCAGTTCATCGGTGCCCATTCAGTTCTTGGATCATTTAAAATTACTAAAATTTTATTATTAATTGACAAACACACAACTTTGCAATGTAGTATTAGTAATATTAGTTTTGAGTGATATTATGAAATGTTTTCTTTGCTATTATTTTGGTTGTTGTTTACTGCTGCTGCTGCAAATCGTACACCTCAATGATGACCTGTGGGAGACGCAGTGCGTCATACTGGGCGATCATGCCACGCTCCAGCTGACGGATGGAGGAAAATTGCTCAAAAAGGCCTACAAATGACAGAAATTGTTTCCTTGCAAGTTGAATGCTTTTCGTCTTTTGCTCTAGATAGCGCAAAAGTAGACGAGAGTAAAAAGTGTGTTGATAACTAGAGAGAAAAATCTTTTTAATAATAAAAAAGTAAACAAAAAACTTTAAGTTAACAAACCGAATAATTTCCGGATTTGAAACAGTTTTCAGCTGCTGAATG